CGCACGATTTTTAAAGGAATGTCTTAAAGACACGTCTTAGAAACAGCAGAACTATTCCTACAAAGACACATCTAAAAAACCATAAATCGCCAGAGTTCACTCAATCTTATCCTAAAATAAGACCGAGAAATCACCCTAAACAGCAAAGTAACGCCTCAAAAACCAACTATAATCTTAGAAACCCACACGCCATTTCCAAAATTACACTCAGTAACCGACTTGTCACCTCACATATACTAGGAAACCGTCACAAGAAAGATACTCGCTTTTGTTTACGTCGTCTTAACAAAAATTCCCGTTAATCTACAGCAGATTGACGGGAATTGAGTACTGCTGACAGTTACAGACTACTCGTTTAACATCTATTTATAGCTGGAAAAGTAACCGCCGCGCCAGCAGCTAGTCAGTATCTTTCAGTTTTGTTAGAACTCAGCAGTCACCCATAAAGTAATTTACATAAATTACCCGTTCTAAGTGCGAGAAGTTATTTTACTAAGTGCGAATAGTGCCTAAGTTCGTATTTTATGGACTAAGTGCGGTATTTTATCATTAAGTTCGCGTTACAGGACCCCCCAAAATGAACATTTTCTTGCGTCTTGGGAAGAGTATTGTAGAGTGCCCCGTAAAACTTTGTGGTGTTAAGTATGATACTAAAACACACTAACTGCCCTAAGGATTCACGTCGATTTCATTCTAGGAGTCGAGATATGTTATTTTAAGTTTTTGGGATGTCATGGATGCAAATCGTTTGCTACAGGCTCAAGAACGCACTTTTTGTATACCATGTTATTTTAAGAAAATGTCCGTTTCGATGCGCTCTTCAAAAATGTTCGACTTGCGAACCATGATTTTCTGCGTCTGTGCCACGTAATTCAGCAAAAAGAGCATGTAATGGAGTGAAATGAGAGGGTGTGTCATCTCTAAAGTAAAATCTTTAAAAGAGCATAACTTAAGAACGGCTGGGAATAGGTGGCCGTTCTTTTTACCATCATGTGCGCCTAAAAAAAGTACACTATCGTGACAATCGATATCGGTCGATATGGTATAAATTGATAAAGTTATGCTCGATTATGTACGCGAAAACAGAAAAAGGGCGCTGGTGACAAAAAAAGTACTAACGATTCTGTTATTGTTTTGATATTCTGTCATCCCAGACTCTTGCGCATCTGGTGACCTATTTTTTATTCGCCAGTTCCGAGAAAAGTGTCGTTTCGATGCGTGGTGGGCCCGGGATGACAATTCGAGTTGAGTTGGAAGTTCATGTGAAGTCCTGGAAACAAGAAAAAAAGAAGATCCACGCTTCCCTAACTCAAAAAGTCATTAGAAACCGAGGGTAGCTTGTATGGAGACTTTTGTTCCTCGTGCGCTAAAACGCCGAATTAAATTTTTTATCTATACTTAACAGGAAAAAAGTTGCCTCCTTCGCGATATATAGGCAAATAAAGAATGGGTGCTATCATTTCGGGACAAAACAGGTGAAAATTTAGGTCGAAAAAAGTGTTTATAGACAAGGCATTTGAATTTAGCCAAAATCTGACTTGACCACGGGAATGCGCGCATAAAAGCACCCCTAGGGCAGTTTTTATACGGAGCAGTCTCATTTGCTTCCTGGATGTGCAGGGCCAAACATGGCCAAAAGTGGTGATTTTGGCCGTCCAAGGTGTCCATTTTCCGCGAAAATGGCGTTTTTTGGCGTCACTAAAAAAATCATTGCGAAGCAACTACTGGAGATATGCTTGTAAAACTTTGGGAGCGGTCGTGCGAACACATGCGCCAAGTTTTCTGCTAAAGTCTGCAGGCCAGATCTGCCGGGCGGCACATAAAACCGGAAAAAACCACCTAAAAAAAGAGCATGCCAAACAAAGTCTCACATTTCGCTGAATAACTTTTTATCTAGAAGAGTTAGACAAATTCTGATTGCGGGAACGGCTCCGCCGTGTGTTTTTACGTATGTCTATGTCCCGTAGATAAAAAGTACATGTTGCAAAAAAAGTACATGTTGTACATAAATCTACCTTTGATATTCGGATTCCCCGTGAAAAACTACGCCTAGGCCGCAGGGTTACAAAGACGAGTCATTGCACTTATGCCCTTTTATAGACGCTTTTAGAAATCGGCCAAAACAGTATTTATTAATTTAGACAGTGTTCCGCTGACATGTCGCATGCTGCGATATGTCCACGTGAAAGAGCACCGAAAAGCACCCCTAGAACACCCTTCATACCCGTTCTAACGGTTCTCTTTCATCTTCATAATAATCAAATTAAAGAACACCATACAAAAAACAAGATCTCGTGTGTAGTGGCTCGCCAGGCATACTAAAACCAAGATGTCGTGTGGGCACATGCCAGACATCATATCTTGCGTTTGCAAACACACGCAAAGTCGGTAAACAGCTCAAAACGGGCTAAAAAGTAGACAGCACCCGGACTTCCCCGGTGGTCACCCACCCGAGTACTACCCGAGCTTGAGGCTGCTTAACTTCACAGAGCAGACGGGA